CACCCCCTGGAGCTCTCTCAGGAAAGGTGTGGATGGTTAGAGAGGGACTCATCCCAGTCTACAGAAGGGGAAACTGAGGCCAAGAGAGGTTGAGGCCTATCCTAAGACACTGAACTGCAGACAGATCCAGGAACAAGAGGCCCATTGGCCTGGAGCCATTATGGCCTTGGTTTTCCCCTCCTCTGGATGAGAACAGCTCAGGGCTGGGGCCCAAGAGACCATGGGAGCAGAAAGCCCCTCCTCATCGTGGTACAATGAGAACTAAGGCCCCCAGGCCCCCATTACCCCTCCTCCTGTGCCGGCCCCTCTCCACTCCCCCCTCCCTACAAGTCCTCCCACATTCCTCCAGGCAACAGGAAACCCCAGCTGCAGCCCAGACTTCAAACAGCTCCTCCCTCTGGGCAGGGGGTGTGGGAGGAGAGGCCAGGGGCCAGAGGGCAAGGGTCAGCTTTGTTCCTGCCTGGAGGTGGTGAGGGACCCTGGGGGAAACAGGGGGGTAGGATAGGGCCTGTGTGTGTGTGTGTGTGTGTGTGTGTGTGTGTGTGTGTAGAGAGAGAGAGAGAGGGAGAGAGAGAGAGAGAGAGAGAGAGAGAGAGAGAGAGAGAGAGAGAGAATCCTGTGTCCATCGGGTGTGCGTGGTTCTCACCAGCTCCTTGATTTCCTTTCGGCTATGAACCTGAGCTACGTGTCTGAGTGCATATCAGCGCATTTGTTTATCTGTGGGTGCTCAGCCTGGGATCCCAGTGACATGCCTGTAGGTGTCAGGATGTGCCTGGTTCACAGGCCTGCTCAAAGTTATGTGTCCTGAGTGTGACCTGGTACGGCTCTTTGTATCCGAGAGAGGTGTCCCTCTCCCACTTCTTCCCCTCGGTTTCCTTCTGGAAAGTGAATGTGATTTGTTACTCCCCTGCTCAAAACCCTTCAGTGCTTCCCTTGGCCCCAAACCTAGAAGCCTGGCCTGCACGCATGGCAGACAAGACCCATGCCTACCTCACCATCTCCATCTCTAGCCACTAACCCCCCCCCCCCAAATTGTCACCCCAGTCACACCTACCTAATTGTAACATCCTGTACGGTCCCAGTGACGTCTGAAATGCCCTTCTTTCGTTTCTTTTTTTAAAATATATTTTTATTGATTACAGAGAGGAAGGGAGTGGGAGAGATAGAAACATCAATGGCGAGAGAGAATCATTGATCGGCTGCCTCCTGCATGCCCCACACTGGGGATCAAGCCTGCAACCTGGGCATATGCCCTGACCCCTGACCCCTGACTGGGAATCGAACCGAACTGTGACTTCCTGGTTCACTGGTCAATGCTCAACCACTGAACCATGCCAGCTGGGCTGTTGTTTCTTTATCAAGGAAACTTTTACTCCTTTTGCAAGTCTCTGGTGAACAACATCTCCATCGAGAAGCCTTCCAGGCTTCCCCATGACCAACTGAGTTAGTGCCCTTCCCTGTTCTCCCACATTTTCTGCTTGTGCCTGTCCCCTGCGCCCTCATCACCATTACTGTGAGCCCTGAGAGCAGGCACTGCACTGTATCTCCCATCCGATGAGGTGGGAAGGTTCTGAAGGGACCTAGTCCTATCCCAGAGGAAAGTTTCTGCAGTTTTAAATATAGTACTCAGAGTGACCACTAGAGGGCCTATGGACACCTCTGCAAGACCATCGTGTGTGTGTGTGTGTGTGTGTGTGTGTGTGTGTGTGTGTGTGTGTGTGTGTGTCGTGGGTGGAAGGGAGGCTTTGACACTGTACCTGAGAGAGAACTGAAGTAGATAGGAGGTCCACCCAGCTCAGTACTAGAACAGTGGGATCCAAGATAGCCTCATTCCCCAGTAGGTCCTAGGCCCCATAGATTTCTCTCTGACTTTTCTCCACAACTCAGGGGCCATACCCCTTGGCTTTCCAACTCTCCTGCTTAAAAAAAAAAATAAAAACCTCACTTGAGGATATGTTTTTGTTGACTTTTACAGAGAGGGAGAGAAAGAAAAACAGATGTGAGCGAGAAAAACCCATCGGTTGCCTCCTGCATGTGCCCCAACTGGGGATTAAACCCACAACCTAGGCATGTGCCCTGACCAGGAATCTTGAACCTTCAACCTTTTGATGTATGGGAGGATGCTCCAACCAACTGACCCACCTGGCCGGGGCTCAACCCTACCACCTCTTGCCTCTGACCTTCCGACCTTCTTCCGTGCTTCATCGGCACCCTCCGCCTCCCATTCGTAATTAGTTGCACTCTCCTGACTTGCCTTGTTCTACCAGATCTCTGGGCCTTTGCATGTGCTTTTCCCTCAGTGGGAGATGATCTCACCCTCTGGCTGCTTCATCAGGCACTTTTCTTTGCATCCTCCCAAAAGTCTCCCTTGGCCTCCAGACTGACCTTGCCCCTAAGTGTGGTAACTGTTCACTGTTCTGCCGCCTGGGCAGGACCAGCCTACAGGAGATATCAGTGTGTGTGTGCAAAATTAATAAATGACTTGGTTCTTCTACAAATACAATCCTCAGCATATCTGGGGCTACCCCAGACCTCTATCTGCACCGTGCCCTCCCGGGCCTGACTCTGGGTTAGTGCTGTACTTTCCCATGCTGCTCCGTCAGATAAAGGAATGTGACACAGTGGGATGCAGGGTTCAAATCCTACCATCCAGCTGTGTGACCTTGGGCAGGTGTCGCAGCCTCGCAGAGCCTTTGTTTCCTCTCTTACAAAACAGGAATAATCACACTTCTGCTCGGCCTCGGGAGGATCATATTGATGATGCATGTGAAACACCCAGCATTAGTCAATTATGTGCCCTTCTCCCCCACCATGAACTTGGAAATAAAATTGCCCTCTGAGTCTTAAGCCAGTAAAATCCACGCTTCAGGAGGAGAAGAGCCAGGTGGGGGAGTGAATGAGGCGAGAGATGGTTTTGTAAACGACTGAAGGGCTTTGTGAACAGTGGAAACTGCAATCAAGGTGACCCACCCGCCTGTAATCTCAGGGAGGCAGGGCGAGGATGTGATTGAAATTGAGAAAACAGAGGCCTAATCAATTGCATTGTGCTCTATCTGAAGGGAGCAGAAGGATGCACAGAAAAGGGGGTGCAAGGGAGAATTTATTCAGCTGCACCAGAGGGAGGGACAGGGAACCAATAGGTACACGGATTCCAGGCTCAGGAGGCTCTGGTCTCTGCTGAGCAGCGAGGGCCTGGTGAACTCCACGTGGTTCCCGGCCCCGCTGGGCCTTTATTGAAACTCAGTGGGCATCCAGGTACCAGGCAGAGTTCCATCAGGCAGACAAAAATATTTTGATCCCAGGAAAAGACTATAGAGCAGCGGTTCTCAACCTGTGAGTCGCGGCCCCTTTGGGGGTCGAACGACCCTTTCACAGGGGTCACCTAAGACCATCGGAAAACATATTGAATATATAATTACATATTGTTCTTGTGATTAATCACTATGTTTTAATGATGTTCAATTTGTAACAATGAAAATACATCCTGCATATCAGATATTTACATGACGATTCATAACAGTAGCAAAATGACAGTTATGAAGTAGCCACGAAAATAATTTTATGGTTGGGAGTCATCACAACATGAGCAACTGTATGAAAGGGTCGCGGCCTTAGGAAGGTTGAGAACCACTGCTGTAGAGACTAAGAGCACTGATTCTGAAGTCAGAGGATCTGGTTCAAGCCCCTGCTCTGCCAGTTATGTCCTATAACCTATTTACTTCACTGTGCCTCAGTTTCCCTATTAATAAAACGAAGATACAACAGCCTTCTCCTCATAGGGTTCTGTGAGGATTAAATGGCAGCATGCACTTAGCAGGATACCTGGCATATCCTGTATAATAAAAGCCTAATATGCTAAATGTCCGGTAGTTCATTCAACCAATCAAAGTGTAATATGTTAATGATATGCTAAGGCCGCTCAACCACTAGCTATGATGTGCACATCCCCCGAGGGCTCCTGGATGCAAGAGGGCACAGGCTGGGCTGAGGGAACCCCCCCTCCAAGTGCATGAATTTCATGCACCAGGTCTCTAGCAGTAAATAATTAGTAAAAGGTATAACAAAGAGAGATAGCATGTATTGAGCATTTTATCACCATTTCACAGATGAGGAAATTGAGGCTTGGAGAGGTTAATAACTTCCACAAAATCACACAGCTAGAGAGTGGTGGAGGCAAGATTCACAGCAGGCAGTACAGCTCTAGAGCCGTGCTCTTATCTGCTTACTCCAAGGCAGATGGAAACACTGGGACTCTGGTTTATACATCAGGCTCTTGTGAGTTTGGTTGCTGAAAAAGCCTCAGGAAGCCTTGGCACCTGAAAGTCTGAGTGTGCAGAGCCACGGCTCCCACTTCTGTGATCACCTCTCTAAGCAGCCCCTTGGCCCCTCTCCCTATTATTGCTCCCATTCAGCATCCCCTAGCACGGGGCTGAGCCTAGGGAGCTCTCAACCTGCATTGGCCACATTGCCTCCTGTTCTTTAGGTCACACAACTTGGGTTTCCAGGGAATCTTTCTACCAAAATCTAGAGCAGTGATGGCGAACCTTCTGAGCTCGGCATGTCAGCATTTTGAAAAACCCTAACTTAACTCTGGTGCCGTGTCACATGTAGAAATTTTTTGATATTTGCAACCATAGTAAAACAAAGGCTTATATTTTTGATATTTATTTTATATATTTAAATGCCATTTAACAAAGAAAAATCAACCAAAAAAAAAAATGAGTTCGCGTGTCACCTCTGACACGCGTGTCATAGGTTTGCCATCACTGCTCTAGAGGGAGAAGGTTCTTCCAAGCATCCACCTGGGGCCGATATGATTCTTTCCCAAAGTCCAGAGGCAGTGAGGTCTAGTAGAAAGATCATGGGCCTTAATGTAAGAGCAGGGTTCCAATCCCAGCTCTGTCACAGATAGCTGTGTGACCCTGACCTCCGTTTCCTCATCATAGAACCAGACTCGGGACTAGACGAAACAGATGTAAACACAGCTGGCACTCAGCAGATGCTTAATAGATAGGTTATTATTATTTCTCTCCAGCCTGACTGTAAGCTCCTCCAGGACAAGGACTGGTCTTGTTCACGTTTGTGTTCCTGGGATCCCACCTAGCAAAGGGCCTTCGCAAATTTAATGCTCTGTGATTGTTTGCCAATTACAGCAGTGACTCCTAGCTCCCAGCCTCTAGCCCTGTCCATCCTCTTAGTAAGTCAGGGGGTCAACAATTTCCTGATGGCGGAGGTGGAAATCCTTACTTCTGGTTCCCCTTGTTTCCATGTAGATGCACATCAGCTGTCAGAGTGCCTTGAAGGGGGACCTGGGGTGGGACAATTCCTCACTGCACATGCGCACAGGCCGGTTGTTGAGCACCTTCCATCCCTGCCCACTCCCTGACAGGAGGCCCTAGTCATCATCACAAACAAAACTGCCTCCAAACCTCTCCAAAACCCCCTAGAGCACAGAGCTGTCCAGGTGAGACCCAGTGAGCTGGACTAACTCTCAGGCCTCCCCTCTCCCCTCCCTCTGTCTTCTTTTGGGGAGCTGTAGGGGGTCCACTGTGAACCTCCCCCACTGCCCCTTTTGAGGGAGGCCTGCTGCTATGCCTGTGAAAAACAGTAAATCTGTAGGATCAAGTAAAGAATTAGCAAACCCACTGCACACGAACTAAAACCACGGTAGTAATGAAGGTGACATTTTGATCTCCAACTGCCTGTCTTCTATAGCCATCGCTGGACTTGTTCTAAACTCAGTGGGGATGAGCATAGGATTTTTGGGTGTCCTAAGACACACCTTGGTGTACCCTGTGCTTATTAGCTCTCAGGGTCCTCCCTCTTCCCAGCAGCCAAAGCAGCCCCACTCACCTCCCACTGACCATCCTCCCTCGCAAAGGAAGGGATCTTCATAGCTCATGGATTCACATTGTCATTTTTCTTATTTACAAAATCAGTACACATACACACATGACTGGGGCGGGGGTAAGCCCTCAGCAATCCTCTCCCTCAATCTGGGCCTTGGACCCCAGTCCTGGACTACAGGGTACACTTCACGGGAAAGGAGTCCAGGTAAGTTTTTCCCTCTCTTTGTAACTTACAGACACAAGAGATGACTGGGGTTGAATTCTGGGGTCCTGGACCAGGGTGGGATGGCAGGATAGGAATGCAGGGGTAGGAGGCGAGGGAAATGATATAGTTTTATAAATAACTAGACAAGGTCTGAGTATTTCCTTTTTTGGGGAGGGGCGGGGGGAGGTAGGGAGACTAGAAGCATATAGGGTCCTAAATTGGAGGGAGAAATATTGCCTGGGCCACACTGGGTAAGGGATCATCTCTGAACCTCTATTTGTCTATCTTTAAAATGAGTGGGTTGCCCTTGATGGCGTCAGAGCGAACAGTTTGCTCTGACAGGCTAGGACTCTATAGGGCTCTAAGCCTGGGGGCTTTGGAACCAGAACCCTGGGGATTGAAAAGGGCTGGTGGGCACCCCCAGAGAGGTGGCAGATGCCCAGACCAGCTATGTCTGATCCCCAGGCTGGTACTGGGGTTCTGTGGAGGTGAAGTAGTCCTCCAGGAAGGACTGCAGGTACTCGAAGGTAGGCCTCTCCTCCGGATCCAGACGCCAGGTCTGCAACATGACCTCGTACAGGGATGCTGGGCAGCCTGGGGGGCACGTCATGTGGTAGCCATGCTCCACCTGATCCAACACTTCCCGGTTATTCATGCCTAGAGGATGGGGCTCCGTCAGTCAGGGGGCCCAGCCTCTCCCAAAGAAGCAGCAAGAAGCAGCAACCCTTCCCCATGACCACTCTCCCACCTCCCGGTCCCCAGCAAACCTGGGTAAGGAACTCGGCCCTTGCTGATGAGTTCAGTGAGCAGGATTCCAAAGGACCACACATCTGATTTGATGGTGAATCTGCCATAAAGGGCCGCCTCTGGGGCTGTCCACTTGATGGGAAACTTGGCCCCTGGAGAGATTGGAGGAGAAGGGAAAGTCAGTGAGGGGGATCCCTGGGAACAGCTGGATTAAAAGAATGGCGTCTTGCGCTGGCCGGTTTGGTTCAGCAGATAGAATGTCGGACTGAGGACTGAAGGGTCCCGGGTTTGATTCTGGTCAAAGGCACATGCCCAGGTTGCGGCTCGATCCCCAGTTAAGAGGCGTGCAGAAGGCAGCTCAGGGTAGATTCTGGTCAAGGGCACATGCCCAGGTTGCGGCTTGATCCCCAGTAAGGGGCGTGCAGAAGGCAGCTCAGGGTACAAATTGGGACCCCACCCTGAAGAGGACGCCCTTCCATTGCAGGCTGCACTCACATGCAAGCTCACTCAGGCAGAGACAATGTAGACATGCCCACTCACCTCACATGCACAGCTTTGGGGTGAGAGAGGGAACCAGAGGGCCAGGAGAAAACCCACAAAGACATGGGGAGAATGTGCAAACCACACAGACAGTGGCCTAAGCTTGGGAATTAATTATTTTTTGGGGGGAGGGAGGGAATTAATTTTTTCTCATCAATGTTATAAGAAACAATGTGAACAAATCGACATTATTCGAGGACCTGCAATATAGCCTTTCCTACATGCCAGGTACTGCCTTAAGTGATTTACATGCATTAACTCATTTAAGCCTCAAAAAACCCCTTGAGATACATACTATTATCCATATTGCACAGATAAGGAAAAGGAGGCAGACCATACAGTGTATGGGTGGTTAGGATTCAAACCCAGGCACTCTGGCTACAGGGTTCATGCTATGATGCGTATTGTCTTTCACTTGAGAATTCTAGCAGTACCTAACACATGGTAGGGACTTTGCCCAAGGCCACATGGCTGATAAGTGGAGGAGCTTGGATCTGAACTCAGAGTTGCCTCTTACACTACATTGCGATGGGAAGGGGGGAGGGTTCCTGAGTAAGTGAGGCCCTGAGGTGGGATGAGGCCGGGCACCTTGCTGGGGGTTGTACTCATCATCCTCGATGAGCCGGGCCAGCCCAAAGTCAGCGATCTTGCACACCAGCCGCTCCCCCACGAGAATGTTGGCTGCCCTCAGGTCCCGGTGGATGTAGTTCATGCGCTCCATGTAGGCCATGCCTTCGGCTACCTGCGGGCCAAGGTACGGAGAGATGGGAACTCCATGGCTATGTGACGGGTCATTTGAAAAACCAACTTTGCAAGGCACTGGCTCGGAGGCAGCCAGGGCCCCGCCTCAGTTCGCACAGCTGATGCAGTGGGTGGGGCTGCGCGGCCAGGGGGAGGCTGTGTTTAAGGGCACCGGGCTTTCAGGGCACAAGGATTTGTGGAGGGTTAATAGGAGGGGGATCTGAGAAATGACGGCTGCGGCCCCAGTTTACCTGGGCTGCCATGTCCACCAACTGGGGCAGCATCAAATCCTGGCCCTCTCGGTCCTTGAGGAACTCCAGCAAGCTCCCTGGGGAGAGGAACCCCGAAAATCAGCAAGAAGACCCTACCGCCAGCTCCAGGCCAGCCCGGTCTCCCTTGGCCCCTCCCCTATCGAGAACCCCTCTCCTAAGCCCCAGCCCGGGCTCCCAGCCCAGTCATTTAGATGGGCCCCCATTCAAGATCCCGCCAGGCACCTCAACCCTTCACAGTTCTCACCCGGATCCCCCTCCACAGATATCTTGACTCTCCCACATCTTTCTTCTCTTCCTACGTCACCCCTGGACATGCCACACTCAGACTCCGTCCCAGACCCTATCTCATCACTGATGCCACCTTCACTTGCCCCAAGCCCACCCACCAGCTGACCACACCTCACGCCAGAGGCCCCGCCCCCAGTCCCAGACCCCCACCTGGTCTAACTTGGCCCCGCCCCCACTCCCAGCAGTCACGCGGTTTCCCTTCTCTGCGCCTCTGTCGGATCCTCCGCAGGGTGCATCCTCCCAGCACAGATCGCTGCCCAAGTCCCTGCCCCAGAGACACTCACCTTAACTTCACCCCAAACCCTGCCCCCAGCCTCGCGCCCTGCCCCCGCTGCTCACCATGGCACATGAACTCGGTCACAATGTAGATGGGCTCCTCCGACACCACGGCGTACAGCTGCACCAGCTTGTCGTGTCGCAGCAACTTCATGACCTGCGCCTCCTCCAGGAAGGCCTTCGGGGACATGGTGCCCGGCTTCAGCGTCTTCACCGCCACCTTCGTGCTGCCGTTCCACGTGCCTGCCGGGTGCCCTCAGCTCATCAGGACGGGCTCCCCGCCCGCCCTAGCCCTGGGGCGGCCCCTGGGGCCTTCATACCCAGCCACACATCCCCATCCCGAAGCAGCCAGTGCCCAGCCGGCCCCTGGGGCCTCCATACCCAGCCACACGCCCCGAAGCAGCCAGTGCCCAGCCGGCCCCTGGGGCCTCCATACCCAGCCACACGTCCCCGAAGCAGCCAGTGCCCAGCCGGCCCCTGGGGCTTCCATACCCAGCCACACGCCCCGAAGCAGCCAGTGCCCAGCCGGCCCCTGGGGCTTCCATACCCAGCCACACGTCCCCGAAGCAGCCAGTGCCCAGCCGGCCCCTGGGGCCTCCATACCCAGCCACACGTCCCCGAAGCAGCCAGTGCCCAGCCGGCCCCTGGGGCCTCCATACCCAGCCACACGTCCCCGAAGCAGCCAGTGCCCAGCCGGCGCTCGAGCGTGATGGAGCTGCGGCTGATCTCCCAGGCGTCCTTGGCCAGGCCCAGCGTCTGCGGCCTCATGGTCGTGCAGGCCGCCGTGAGCAGGTAGCACAGCCCGTCGTTCACCTCTGGGGAGGGGGGTGTTGGAGGTCACAGTCGGAATAGACCGGCCCACATTCCTCATCCCACCTCAGTCTCCAAGATCAGTTATCAGGGCCTAGGCCACAGGTGAGGTCACAGGCCAGGGCAGGAGGCAGCCCGGCCCACTGAGGGGGTGAACATGTTGGTGCCCAGAGAAGGAGGTACATCAAGAGGGCGAGGTGGCCCCTGCAAGGACTGGGGACTTCCATGGAAGGTGGCCTCCAGCTGGGCGCCAAGAGGAAGGTGGATTCTGACAGGTGGAAATGGAGTTGACGATTCCACTCAAAGATGTGGACATGGGACCCTCACTCTTCCGTGGCCCTCATCCTTTCCCTCATCAACCAAAGCAGAAACCTGGGCATGAATCCCCCTTCCCCTTAACCCTGCAGCCCATCCTCCACGTCAGTGCTATTCTGCCTCCTACCCGGCTCAGACATTAGGGGGGGTGCCCTTGCTCTGATATGAATGGCCTCACGCCTGTTTCCTCTGGAATCCACAGAGCAGTATCCCGGGCGAGAGCCTAGATTGGGTCCTGGTCCTGGCCTGCCACTCCCACTTTGGAGACCCTCCTCTGGGCATTGGCTCAGTGGGTTGGGGCAGGGATCTGCAGCACGGGGCAGCCCCAGGGGCCCGCCTCACCCATGTAGTGCTGCACCAGCTCCTGCACCGAGTCAAACTGGGCCCTCGCGGTGATGTAGTAGCCACCCGTGTCCAGCTTTCGGATCTTGTAATGCTTCACATGCTCGCCTCTGGCCTGGTCCCAATCCCGGATGGATAGAGAGTAGGCACCTGTTGGGAAGGATCACCTGGCCTGCCCCAGTCTGGAAGCAGGAAGAGGCCCACAAGACTGGGGACTCTGGAGTTGGAAGGCCACATCCCTTGAACCCAGCCCCAGTCTTGGCCCTGACCCAAGCCCCACCCCACCACTCCTAGCCCCACCCACCCTCCTACCCCAACCCATTGCTTTTAGCCCCACCAAGGCACCCTAATGGCTAGGCTGTCCTGGTCCAGGGCCAGCCATGGCACAGTCCCTACCTTTGGTTGTCTCACTCTCCCGAATGAGAAAGGCTCCCCGGGGGTTGCCAGCGGAGAGCAGCTGCCTCTCAGAATCCTTCCTTCCCATCTTTCCAAAGTACCACCTGTAGGGAAGGGCCGGCAAGCGTCAGCTACACACCCAGTTCAACTCCCAAGTCAGCCTCCTGGGAAAAGTCACTTCACAAGCCAAGATTCAGTGTCCTCATCCCCGAAAGGGGGCTCATACACCTGCTTCACAGCCTGGGTCTGAGGTTCACAGAAAAGGGGAATTTGAATGCTTGGCACACAGTGGGTGCCCAATAACGGCGAGGCTTCTCTCCACTCTCTGGGTTCCTCTTGAATTAAAATTGCTAGAACCCCAGTCACCAATGACCTCATCAGGGTGCCACCAGCCCATTAGTTACTGCTCCTCCAGAAGTTCATTTTACAGATGAGGAGCTTGCGGCTGGGAGAGGAGCAGTGACCCCCTGCAAGGCCTGCAATGAGCTGTATTGGAAATCTTTGCAGCCCACCCTAGTTCTTCCCACAGCACCGAGGGAATCTCTCGGATCCCTCTCCCCGCACGCACCGGGAATCCTTTTCCTCCTTTGGCTTCCAGAACAACACTCTTTCCTGGTTCTCTTCCCCTCTTTCTGCCTGCTCCTGCCTGCTTCTGACTGCTGCTTTTCCTCCACTCTCTTAAATTTGAATATTGTTCTAAGTCTCAACTTCAACTTCAGAGCTCGAGCATTCCTGCTTTCTCTGGATATTCTTCGGGGACTGAATTGTAGCCTCAAACCAACTGTGGGGAGATGAAATGACCACAGGTCCCATAGAAGAATAAGATGTCATTTGATCACAAAATTGGCCCATGACCATCTTGGGCTCAATTAAAAGAAGCATCGTTTTCAAATCAAGGAAGGTGGCAGTCTCTGTGAACTCTAAAATTGTCATCCCACACCTGGGTACTAGGCACATTTGGGGGATCAGGGGGAGGCATTGGCAAATGAAATGTCCAGGAGGGTAGGCAGGAATGGGAAGGAAAGAACTGTTGAAGGACTGTGTAGACAAGACACATTTCCACGTTATTTTAGAGCCCTGCCCCCACCCATACCCATGACATTAGCTACTTCCTTAATAATTAATGTAATAACAACAGCACTTATTTTGTGTCAGGCTCTGCTTTAATACATACATGTATTCATTTAATTCTTATAACAAGGTTGTGAGGTCAGTACTATTATTAATTCCCATTAGACAGATGAGGAAATTGAGACACCTTGTGGTTAAGCAACTTGCCCAAAGCCACAGGCTCTGAAGCTGTGTTGCCAGAATAGGAACCGGAGCTGTCTGCTCTAAGGCCTGCACTCTTAACCACCACACTATTCTTAACAGCGACACCACTCTGAGTGCCTCTGCCGCTCAGGGCTTCGGGACACTGCCCCCAAGATGTGGACACAAGCATGAAGCCCACGCACCTCTCGCCTTCTGCATCGTCACCCCTCCTCTTCTCCATGCCTCCTACCACCTTCACAGACCAAGTCCTCACTCCACTTGAGCTCTGGACCCTGTCCACACCCCTCTGCTCAGAAACACGTCTCTCCCACCAACCAGCCCCCATCAGCAGCCTCCATCCCACCAACCTCTACATATGCCTACATTTCTTCCTTCCCCAAAGGAGTGTTCTAAGCCCTATCTTTTTTGTTGTTATTATTACTGATCTCAGAAAGGACAAGAGAGAGAGAGAAACATCAGTGATGAGAGAGAATCATCGATCGGCTACCTCCCACGTGTCTCCACTGGGGATCGAGCCCACAACCCGGGCACATGCCCTGACCGGGAATCAAATCATGGCCTCCTAGTTCCTAGATCGATGCTCAACCACTGAGCCACAGGGGCGGGGCTAAGCCCTATCTTGCCATAAACATTCTGTTATATTTCTCACCTTCTCTTCTCTTGAAAAAGCACTTCACACTTGGGTCTCCACTTCCTCACCTCCTACTCCTTCCTAGGCTCTGCAGTCTGGCCTTCACCCCACTTCACACAGACATGTCTCACAAAGGTCACCCCCATTGCCAAATCCAGTGGAAGCCTCTGATACTCATTTCTTGTTTCCTGAAACCTCTCCTCCGCGCTCTTGGCTGCTCTGACATGGCCTGGCCTGGTTTTCCAGCGGCTCCTTCTCCTTCAACAGCAGCTTTCTTCAAAGTTGGGTCCTAGGGCCAATCTCTCTCACATCCCTCCCTCTTCCTTCAGCCTCCTACACAGCTTTAATTATCATCTCCACTCTGAAGAGTCCCAAATTTCCACCCCAGCCCCAGGGGTGCCAGAGCAAGAGCCACAGCAAACAAACGAAGAGCCTAGTGCCAATTAGTAGATGCCCCTTCCTCTGGACCAATTTGGGGCTTGGCGTGGCTTGGCATGGACCGGACACCTCTCATGCAAAGTACAACCGAATCTACTTGCTGGTCGTCTCCTCCAGCTGGGTATTCCCACCCATGAAACTTAACCCAACAAGTCCACCCTAGAAACCAACCCGCTCCTACGTTCCCACTTTAGCAAATGGCACCATCACCCACCCAATTTCTCAAGAAGACTGGGCCACCCTTGACTCCGCCCACTCTCCATGTCCCAGTGGCAAATCAGTCACCAAGTCCTGCTAACTCTCACTTTGCAGTCTCTCTAATCTTTCCTTTTCATATGTGTGTGAAGATTTTTTTTTAAGTTTCATGAGCCTCAGTTTCCTCACCTGTAAAATGGGGATAATAGTAATATCAATAGTGTGAGAAGTAATCAAGGTGGGTAATGTACCTATAGTAGTATCTCAAGTACATAAAGGTATTCTGTGAGTAATTCCCTGCCTCCTTAGTAATTCTAAGTAATACTCCCTTACATTTGCTTAGCAGTTTGCAATGTTTTAAAGCCCATGCACTGTTGTTATCGCTGAGAGACAATACGTATAATAATGCTCAGCAAATGCAGCCAGATGATCTGGGTTCAAACACCAGCTCCGCCTACTTACTAGCTATGTGAACTTGGGCAGGATATTTAACTTCTCTCTGCCTTAGTTTCATTTGTAAAACAGAATGATATTAATTCCTAACTCCATTAATACACGGAAAGCACTTTGAATAGTGCCCAGAACATAGTACATGCTAGATAAGTATCATCTATTACTATCATAATTATTATCTTCTTTTATTCTCACAATGACCTTATAGAATTATAGATAAGGAGACAGTGTGGAGCTGTGGCTTGCCCAAGAGGTGACCTTAAGTTTGACCTTTAGAATACTGTTCATAGGGCTGATCTCCTCTCAACCACTACTCACTCTTCAGCCTGGATGGAGTCCACAGGGGCCACATAGTTGCTGGGGATGTAGCCAGTTTGTCCAGAGCTGAGGGACCGGGCCTCCCACCAGTCACCTTCACTGCAGGCACAAAACGGGGGGTGTCAGCAGCAACCTGGGGCCAGGCAGGGGCACACAAAGGCCCAGGTGGAGACTGAACCTGCCAACTCCTTACCTGGGACTCCCCCCACCCCAGGGCTTTTGTCTGTTCTGACCCCAGCCACTACAACTGTCCCAGGAGACTGTTCCCTGCAGGAGGAATGTGTTTGGGAACATCTGGGCCTTCTGACTTTCTCCTCTGGCTCCAGTGCTGGGCTGGGGTTTGGGTAGGCAATGGGACCGCTAACTAGGTCACTCCCCACTGAACCTCACCCCCAGTGGCCACATATTTCCTTCTGGACAAAATCCAGACTCCTCAACATGGCATTGGAAGCCCTGCAGATATGCTCCCACCCACCCCTCCAGCCTCTGCTCTCTCTGTTCGCACCTCATTCTTTATGATCCACCCAGACCAAACCACTTGGTAGTTTCCAGAAGTCATCATTTATTCTCATTCTCTCTCTTTCTTCTTCTTTTCTCACCTCTCCCTTCAAGGTCTATTCATTTCTCTAGTCTCAGCTTAGAAATCTCCTCCTCCAGGAGGCCTGCCCTGACCACCACCACCCTGGAGACCATGTTTGGTATTCTTTCTGTGCCCATAGTTCCTCATGCTCCCCTCACATAGTAGCAATCACCCAGGGTTGTTATTGCCACGTGTCTGTGTCTCCAACTAGGCTGGAGATTTCTGAGGATAGGGACCAGGTAGAATTCCTCTTTGAGTCCTGCTCCCAATCCAGGCCATGCCCTGAGCAGAGTGGCCTGGTCACTCACGTGTTGTTCAGGATGTGGAACTTCTCGCCCTTGGTGAAGGTGAGGTCATCTTCCGTCCGGGCCTCATAGTCATACAGAGCAACGAACAGGGTCACCCCAGGCCCTGTAGAGTCAGGGCTCCTCAGTATAGGGTAGGGCACAGGATGGGGGGCACCAAGGGGCTGCCTCCCTAGAGTTCTGATCCCCAGCCAGGCGTTGTGCCTCCCCACTGCTGTGCCCTGCTTCCCAAAGGCCTCTGGAGTCCCATGGATTTCCAATTCAGGCTTCGCATCTTGGATTCAGGACATACACCTTCAAGCCCATCCCTCCCAACCTGGGAAGTCGCCAGATCACCAATTCCTCCTCTTCCCCACCAAGAAGATTTCCCTGTTGCAGGATCTTAAGGGTCCCTCTCTCAGACTGGGGCAGAGCTATGTTTCCCCTTCAGACTGGGTTTCCTGAGGGTAGAGCTGTATGTATTTCCTCAGAGCGCACGCTGAAGGCAGGGCTGTGTTTCTCGTGCCATACTGGAGGCGCCCAAGGACAAGTCCACACCGTCCCTTCTCCAGGGTCTAGGCCGTGCCTGCCTCCAACTACTGAACTCACCTGAGATGGCCCTGATGGTGCCCCCATCAAGGAAGGCGGGGCTGGTGGGCTGAGGGGAGAAGTTGTTGTAGTTGGGAATATGGGCCAAGGAAGACATAGGCCGGGCCTGAGTAGGGTCAGGGCCATAGCGGTCTGCAACCCCGTAGCTCCTGAAGTCCCCTTCCAGGCCAACAGCCTCCTTGGGCGCTGGCTCCACCTTCTTGCAAAACACACAGCCCATTCCAGGTGCCCTGCTAAAAAATGGGGGCAGATAGGCCACCCTATGCACATATGCACACATGCATGTGCTCACGTACACACACATACACGCACATATGCATGTGCGCACCTGCACACACACATCATACACCTCCAGGTCCAGCTACCTAGCGGATGGCTCTGTCACAAGCATGCAGCTTTTCCTCTCAGGTCTGGAGTAGGGGCTCCCCCGTCGTGAGGGATAGAGGTGGGCAGGGCTACCACTGGCTCTAACTACCAGCTGCCTTAGTGTGTTTGCAGAGAGAATGTGTATTCTCAGTGGGACTGCTTTTCTGCTTCCCAATGTTGCTGTGCTTATTTATATATTTTTGCCTCCTATTGCTTCAGTATTTTGTATTTCTGTGACTCCTTAAGAGCGCTTGTGTGTGTGTCTTTTGTGTGTCTCTAAGAATTTGTGAGTTTGTTTGTAGGTTTGCATCTATGTGTGTATGCAGCCTTTTGTGAATGTCTGTGTATGTAATTGCATGTACCTATCTGTGTATGTATGGCTCTGTGTGTGCTTGTGTCTTGTGAGTGTGTACATATGTACGTGTTTCTTGTGTGTGCTTCTGTGCATGCAGGTCTGTGTGAGTAGGTGCCTCTGTGTCATTACCATGTGCACATCCTGTGTGGGAGTGTATGCGTGTGTCTGTGTGTGCGGCTCTGTGGAAGTATGTGTGAATGTCTGTGTGTCTCTCTGTGTGTGCATGTTATGCATGGATATGTGCTTGTGAGTGAGTGTGTGAGGGCTGTGTGCCTGCACCTGGAGATTCCCTGCAGAGGGGATCAAGGCCATTTCCTGTCTCAGGTCCAGCCTCTGGCTTCTCAAGCTGCCTCATTCTGGCTCCCCCATCTGTTACCTAGCAACAGGGCCCTTGTAGGAGGAGGGGTCTGTGAGAAGTTGTGGGGCCCAGGAAGGCTACCCTGCCCGAGTTCCCAGCCCTCAAAGTCGATGAGTCTTGGGGAAAGATTCCTGCGTATGGGGAGCCATCAGTCCCCTCCCTCCTCACTCACCCCTCAGGCCCCTACTCCGTGGTCAGTGGGGCTGCAGCATGGTCCTTGGGAGGGGCCAGAGACCTGAGGGGAGACAGAAGGACATGGGAGATGAAGGTTCTGCCAATGTTCCTGCAAGCCAGCTGCTAGCTCCTGCCTCTTCAGGAAGCCAGAAGGCCTGGGCTCTGCCCCCGCATGACCTCTGCCTTCATTTTCCTTCCCACTGCCCCTGGCGCACTTACACAGTCACCCTCACACAGGACGCACCGCCCACACTGACTCTCTCACCCTCATATCCACCTGATGCACCAACATACCACCTCATACAGTAACACACACACACACCAGCAACGCTCACACTCACAGCATGCACCTGCAACACACCAACTCAAGCTCTTACACAAGCCCAAACTGATGCATAGTAGTGTGCGTGTGTGTGCACGTGCACACACACACACACACACCACACACCACATCATACACACACACACACTCATACACACACACCACACACCACATCATACACACACACACACACTCATACACACACACCACACACCGCACACACACCACACACACACACTCATACACACACACCACACACCGCACACACACCACACACCGCACACACACTCATACACACACACCACACACCGCACACACACCACACACACACTCATACACACACACCACACACTGCACACACACCACACACACACACACACTCATACACACACACCACACACCGCACACACACCACACACACACACACAACCACACACACACACCACATCACACACACACACACACACACATTCATACACACACACCACACACCGCACACACACCACACACACACACACACACACACACTCATACACACAGGCTGCCTCTCAAGCAAACAGATCCAGACACTCCAACACTCATATTTTAGTGTTAGACCCACTCCTCTAATTGGATTTCTATCAAGTCACGCTCAGCTCATTCTCTGGCTGCCAGTCACTGTCTCCTAAAAGCAGTCACTCACCTTTGGAAGCTGCCTCTGCTCACAGCCTGGGATGGGTAGACCCCAGCAGCCCACGGCTACCGGCCACAAATGGTGGCCGAGCAAAGGTGGACACCCATCTCCAGAGCCAACTCCTACCCCATATCAAGGAAATACCCGGTCAGAAGCTGGGCCACCAGGGTCCCTTGGGGAGCCCACCAATGGCTTAGCCTCTCTGGGTAACTGTGTCCCCTGAGCAACAGACTAGCAGGTCATTGAGCAAGGGCTCCCCACACCCCACCAGAAACCCTGGCATTGCAACACTCAGAGAGGAACTGCTGGGGGGAGCACTCCATTTCCTAAGCTGTGAGAGGAATGGAGAGTTTCAGGGTGAGGCCAACAGTGAACCCTGATTTCCCCAGAGGGGCCCGCGGGCCCCTGCTTGGCTTTTCTTAATCCCCAAATCCAGTTCCCCTTATGGGTCCCGCCCCTCCTACCAAGCATCACTCACCTCTTCCAGGAAGCCTTCCTGGATCCACCAGGTCCAGCTGCCCAGCCAATGACTCTGTCACATCAGTGCCCTGGTCCCCACCCCAGCGCTACCACCCCTCTCACCCTTCACTGTAACTGTTCTCCTGTGGAAGGGGGGATGGGGGCTGACACCCCTGTGGTGAACTGTGAGGCAGGCTGTGGTGAGAAACCTAAAATAGCCCCTGTTCACTAAGCCATTGCAGAGGTCACCTCAGGACCCTTCCCCTGGGGGAAAGCCATGGTGTCTGAAAGGCTCCAGGATGTTGCAGGGCTGGTTAGGGCCAGGGAGAGAATGGAGCTGGGAATCGCATCCAGGGATTTGAGGCACCAAGGGGACAGATGGGGGGTAAGATGAAAACAAGGGTTACAGGATGAGATGGAGGTCTTCTCACCGGAAGACACATGTGTCTCAGACAGCACACAGGGCCGATACTCAGAGTCACACACCTCTCCCACCTCTCCCGACACACACACATTCCCTCAGCTACACATGGCACCTCATGCAGAGACTCTGAGCTCCTCTGTGCAGATTCACACACACACACTCACAGACACTTACATCCTCAAGGATACCCACACCCTCATATACACATACCTCCAGCCCTCACCAATCTACACACACACACACACACACACACACACACACACACACACAGCCTCTCCATAAGAATTGCATGTATAGAATATATAGCACTATGTACCAGCCACTGCATTAAACAGCTTACATATATTAGCTCATTTTATTCTTACAACAACCTTATGAGGTAAGTATTATTATTGATAAGGCAACTGAGGCACAGAGGTTTAGAAACTTGCCCAAGGTCACACAGTTGATTTATTCTGGCATTTGGCTCCAGAATCAGAGTCACTTTTTTCTATTGGCTGGTCACAGACCTGGAAAATTACAGCCATTCCTACAAGCATTCACAGATGCATGGAGCCCCATAGGAACACACAGCCCTTCCAGATGGCAGACCCACACAGAACTCCCTTGTGTAAAAGAGACAAACATAGTCCTGGCCAGCGGGACTCAGTGGTTAGAGCATCAGCCCACGCACCAATGGGTCATGGCTTCGATTCCCGGTCAAGGGCATGTACCTGGGTTGCAGGTTCTCCACCCCAATCATGTGAGAGGCAACTAACTGATGTGGCTCTCTCACATTGATGTTTCTCTCTGTCTCTCTCTCCCCCTCTCCCTCCCACCCTCCCCCCTCCTTTCTCTTTTTTACCCTTCCCTCTTCCTTCCAAAAATATATAAAAGACACAAACTTACACCACCTCTGGGGTCCCCACATGGTTACCACAATGATTTTAAATCAGCTGAAGGGGAGCGCCAAATCCCGCATGTCTGGAATGGGGTAGGGATCAGACACTGTCAGCCACTGAGAAGGAGGCGGAGGGCTCTGTGGGCTGAGGAAGAGCCGTGGTGGATCTGACACCATGGACAACAGGCAGCAGGGTCAGCTCTCAGGGCTTTGCACTCTAGACCTGAAGGGGACCAGGGCCCGGGCCTAAGCCTGACCCTCTGGGCACCAGTATGTTGAGGGGGTTGGAGGATGTGGGGTGAGGGTGTGGGGTACAGCGTGTGGCATCTGCATGGCCCCAGGCAGCGAGCGGGCCACGCTGCATGTGACCACACTCATGTGGCTGCCTCAGAAGAAAGAGATGGGGAGAAGTAAAAAAAGAAAAGACAGAGATTGAGAGACACAGGAAGACATAAACACGGAGAGACAAAGAGAATCTCAGTGTGATGTGCTGGTTGGTCTACCGGCTCTTAAAGGAAAAATAAGAGGCCCTGATTTGTAGCCTTTGCTGATTTCCACGGTGTCAATATTCCCACCATGGCTGATTGCAGGTTACTGAAGTGACTTCCTGAACGCTGGGCTGGAAAGAGCTTGGCAGATTCAGCTCCCCAGAGCCAGCACTAGCCGGCTCCAGCACGTCATGCCAGAAGAAACAAAGAGAAACAGAGACAGAAATGAAAAGTAGAGAGACAGAGACAGAAAAGGGAAAGGGATCTTTGGAAAGCAATCCGGCTCCCTAGGAGTCTGGGAGGCAATGACCATCCGTTTAAAAATGCGATTTTACTGAACACCTATTCAGTGCCTGGTGTTGATCCAAGCAATTCCCACGCATGACCTCACTCAGTGACCCCAGGAAGTGGCTTTTATTATCACCCCTGTTTTGCAGAGAGGGACTTGATTCTGTTCGTAAATATGCCTCTTGAACATCTGGTTGACAGGAGTCAGTTACCAGAGGCTCAGCTGGGCCAAAATCAGGTTGTGGATGTCAGAGCTGAGGTCTGACTTTCAACATTTCCTCTGTGCGGCCCTACCCAACGGCGGGACCTTGAATGAGTGACATGAGCCCTCCGAACCTCAGTTGTCGCACCTGTCCCGTCTGTGCGGTTGTTGGGAAGGCTTGAAGAAATGTGCCTGCTGCCCAGTGTGCAGTGGCTAAGTGACGCTGAGGGCCACCAGCTTCCAAGCTGAGTGCCCCCAGGGACCACTCATCAGGCCACCTCCCACCACCTCACCTTGTGTGCAGGGCGAAGTGACTTGCTCGTGGTCAAACAGCCAGGCAGGGGATTCAAAGCCAGGGCTATAAATCCAGGTCCAGAGTTCTGTTCCTGGAACCGTGGCTGTGTCCTCCAAAGACTGAGCAGGAGAACGTCATCATTCCTTCCCAGCCCCTGGCCAACTGCACATACCACCCCCTGCCATATCATATGGCAGCTGGCCACCCAGCCCGGAGCTTGCCTCCCTCCCACCCTTACTCCTGGACATGGGAGCCGAGGCCTACACATCCTTTCTTGAGGGCCACGCTTCCCAAAGCCAGGTCAGGGCTGTGATATAGAGCCAGGATGTCCTGTTCTTTCCCCCCAACCCCTCATCCCCTGCCAAGTATCTGTAGGATCTGAAAACAAGTTTAGGGGCAAATTCTACCCGGCCTGACAGCTAGCTTGAGACATTGGGCAAATCAGCCAGTTCACCTTCCTGAGCTGCAGTTTCTTTGCCTAGAAAATAGGAATAGAAATCGCTACCTCATGAGGTTGTTTCTGAACATTAAGTGAGGTCGAGCCCCTGCAAGCACCTCCAGGTTGAGGGAGGAGGAGTAGCAGGGCTGAGGAGAAGGAGAGGTTCCCAGGGGGAGGGGGAGGCCTGAGCTGGCACAGCTGCCTGGGGGATTTCACCAAAAGGGAACTGGGCCTTTGGGCAGCCGCAGGAAACCACCATCCTGCAAGAGTTCCGGCTTCTCCTCAGGCCTCAGGGCTCTGGGCTCTTAGCCCCACGGCACCCCCTTCGTCACCAGTCACCTAGACCTGACCCCCCCTGACTTTCATCCCTCGCTGATACCCTCCACCCCTCCTGCTCCAGTGCCCGTACTGAGCCCTGATCTCCTTCACTGAGGCCTTCACCTCTCCTTGAACCTCCAACCATCTCACACTGGCTTTTTTGAGGCCCTTACATTCTCCACCCATGAACAGGCAGGGGGGGCGAAGACATACCGCAATCTGAGGCTGCTACCCTGGTGTGGGGAGTACAGCGGGGGAAGGATGGGGCAGGGGAGGGGGAGGGGAACCTATCTTCGCTACACTCGCTTTACCCTCCATATGGTCCTGAGGGTGTCAGCTGAATTTTTTCCACTTCTTGTGGGTAAAAGTGGTTTTTCATCTGTTGCTGAAAACACATCCATCAGCCTCTAAAGCAGTGGTCTTTAGGGACTCCAGTTTCTTGGGTGGCTCAGAGGAAGTGGAAGGAATGAGTCTACGTTCCACAGTGTGGCCAGACAGGAAAGGCCCTGGCCCCCCCCTTCCCTGGCTCTGGAGCCCCCCTACCCAGCCTCTCAAGGTCTGGCAACTTCCTTTTCCACATCAGCCCCAGGTGGCTGCAGAGACACCCGAATACCCACACAGATGCTTACATGCTGATGCTCATTCACTCAAAGCCCAAACCTTACACACACTCTCACACTTCATGCCCACCCTCACGCCCCCCCCCCACGCCTCCCCCTCTGGCCCCCCTCGTCCCCCCCCCCCCCCCGGAATCAGGAGCCAGCCACAAAGCCCATGGAGCCCAAGCCTTCTTCCCCCCTCCCCCTTGCACACATTCCAGAGGGGCAAGTCAGTTCACCTTCCCGAGCCACAGTTTCTTTGCCTAGAAAATAAGGATAGAAATCCGGATTTGGTAGGAGAGGGGGGAACTCAGCCCTCTGGCTACTTCCTTCATCAGGGACAAGACTCCCCGGACTCTGGGTCCCTCATGCTGGCCCTGTCAGTCACTGACTCCCAAACCGCCATCCTCTCGTCTGTGAGGTGGGAACAGAGCCTCGCTCTCCCAGCACAACCACAGATGGAAGGAGGCCAAGGACCATGGGAATCGGGGACAGATCTCAAACATTCATGTATTTGTTAGATGTCAGCTATGTGCTGGTCCCTGGAGGCCCTGTCAGGCTTTCGGGTGCCCCTACATGCTTTTGCGAAGGTGAAGGGAGGCTCCGGGTCCGTGATAAATCACTCTGAACCCCCCCAGGACACTTAGCAAACACTGCTTTCTGCACCCGAAGCTCCTGACTGGGGCTGGGAGGGGCAGAGGTGATGTCCGCATAGGTCACAGGAGGAAAATGCGGCCAGAGAAGCCTCATAACCAGCGTGAAGTCACACAGCAATCAAGGGCCCTGTCTGGTCATGTCCCAGAAACTGCAGACCACCCACCCCGGGGTCCCTGAACACCGATCACCGTCATCTCACTCCTCTGTCCCTACACCTCCCAGGTCCTCCCGGACGAGGACCCAAAACAGGGGCAAAGCCCTGGTTGCTGCGGCTCAGTTGGCTGGAACTCCTCCCGTATATCAAAAGGTGGTGGGTTCGATTCCAGTCAGGGCACATACCGGGTTGCGGTGTCCCCCGGGCGGGTACCAGAGGCAATCGGTAGATATTGCTTCTCTCTCTCTCTCTCTCTCTCTCTCTCTCTCTCTCTCTCTCCCCCTACCCCACCCCCACACCTCCTGCCCTCCTCTGTCTCCATCTCCTTCTTTTTCTCTCGTTCAAATCAATGAAAGAAAAAAATGGGGGCGAAGCGGGGAGCAAAGTGGGCTGCGAGGGCACCGCGCTACAGCAGCCAAGCGCGGGGCTGAGCGTCTCCACCCTCTCGTTGCCATGGAGACAGCCCCTCCCAGCGATCGCGGTCAAAGGCAGGATTTCCGTCGGGGCGGCCAGCAATTCCCGGATCCCGAGAAGAACGTGGACCGAGACCGCCGCTCCGGGCAGGGAGGGGGCACCCAGAGAGGCCCATCCCTGCCGAGGGCGGGGACTTCCCCAGGAAGCGGGGCCCACACCTCCAGCGCCCAGAAGGAGTCCCCTGACTCCGAGGCCCGCCCACCCGTGCGGTGCGGGGCGGAGGGTCCCGGGGCTGGTTCGCGAGCGCCTCCGCTCCCTCTTGGCTGCGGGCTTCGCCCCACTTCTGCCAAGGCC